GCGGTCGTGGAGGTGGTGCTGCAAATATGAAGAACAGTTACAACGAGATCGAGTCGAGGGACGATCGCTTTCCGAGTCGATTATTCTTCGTGTCAACGCAAGCACCGGCTGCACCAGAGAAGGATGAAGGCTTTGAGGAGCCTGCTGCTGTAGGGAAGGTGACCCTACACTCCCTGGACTATTGGGTGATCAATAATGGCGCTACCTATAGCATGACACCTTGTGCGGTCTTGCTCACCGAACTCGAGCCGTCACCAGTCAAGCATGTCACATCGGCTTTGGGGCAGCAAGCAGAGGTTAAAGGCATGGGCAAGGCCATGTTCAAAGGTGCTGATGGGAAGATGGTGGGCCTCAAGAACGTGCTTTGGGTGCCCAACCTTGCTGCCAACCTGATTTCTGTGCAGTGGTTGCAAAATGCTGGCATGGACATGAGCCAAGACCTATACCGCAAGGATTGGCGAGCGGATTCTTTGGGAGCTTTACAAGGATAGGGATGTCTACAATAAGATGTGGCAGATCCCTGTGGTCCCCATGCCTAATGAGAGGCAAGTGGCAGCAAGCTTCAGCACCAGATGGTAGCGGCAATGGCGCGAACGATGGCACTTAGGAGAATGAGTCCAAGAAGTGCAATCTTGGAGGAACCAGCAAGCTCAGTGAACACAAGGAGAGTGCAGCAGCTAAGAAGCAGCACAAGGGTGAGGATAACCCCAAGGCAGCAGCGGAGGAGGACTACGGAGAGAGCATGTGGGGCACTATTGCAAGTGCGACATTCTCCAATCTGACTTCGGCTACGGGGGAGTGTGATTGCCTCACCTTGTATCGGCAAATGGGGCATGTGGCCCTGCCCATCTTGCAGCAACTAGTGAAGAATGAGATGGTTGCTGGCATAAGTGTGACAGGGGAGCCCAATAAGGTACTCGGCTGCCCGACGTGCATACAAGCCAAGTTCACCCGTTATCCGTTCTCTAGTTCGGAGGCAACAGCTAAGGCACCAATTGATGAGGTGGTGATGGACGTGGTGGGCCACTTGAAGCTTAGAGCTGCTGGAGCAGAGTACTTCCTCACCATAGTCGACGTCTACACCTGCATGACTTGGGTTTATGTGCTGTCCAAGAAGAGCAACACGCCTGAAACGGTGAAGACCGATTGGTTGCCAATGGTGGAGCAGCAACCTGACCAGCTAGTCAAGTCAATCCACAACGATGGAGAGGAAGAGTTCCTGAGCAGACAAATGGGTGCCCTAAATGGAGTGGATTGGAAGGAAGCCTAAGGTGGATATGCTTCGGGTGTTCGTGTGCATGTGCATGGCGCTCGTGCCTAAGCATCTTCGACACAACAAGCTCGGTGCCAAGGCGATATGGGCCGTACATTTGAGCATGGCTCAAATCAGCAAGGGGTGGCTTCTTTGGGACCCATTCACCAATAAATTCTTGGTGAGCAGGGACTGCAAGTTCATGGAGAATGCCTATCTTCACCTCTACAAGGATTGGAAGGCGGAGAACAATGCGAAGATAAGCATGCGGTTTGCAGAGGTGAAGAGTTCCGGTTTGGAGCATGTGGAGCTACCTTTGGAGCTGAGCAGTGGCAGCACCACCACAAGGCAATCTTCCCTTGTGAATGGGGGAGAGGAGGCCAAGGATGCAAAGGAAGAAGAGGAGGAGGTGCAGCAAGTGAGCGAGCGTGCACCGACACTTCCTTCTCTCACTACGAGTGCTCCACGGATCCGAGTCACCCCACAGCAACACCAAGGCCTTCATGTCCCTGCAGCTGAGTCGGAAGGAAGGGGCAAGAGGAGACTTCAAGCCCCTAATAGGCTGACTTATGATGCACCAGGAAAGAAGGGCAAGTCAGCCCTGGCCGGATATGTCGAAGAAATTGAGCTCGAGGGGTGTGCGTTCGTGATCTTCTCTCCGGAGAAGATGCCGGGAGAACCAGCAACTCTCAAGGAGACCTTGGAGAGCACTGATGGCGAGGAGTGGAAGAAGGCAATGGAGAGCAAGCTGAAGAGCATTAAGGAGAAAGACATGTGGGAATTGGAGGAGTTACCGGAGGGGCGTAAGGCGATAACTTCCAAGTGGCTCTTCAATATCAAGTCCGACGCCGACGGCAAGATCCAGTGCTACAAGCCTAGGCTTGTGGCCGAGTACCAGCAGAAGGAGAAGGTGGACTTTAAGGAGTTGTTTGCTCCTGCGGTGAAGCCGACAACGTTGCGGACCCTACTCGCAGGGGCTGCTATCAAAGGATGGGTGGTGAAGTAGATGGACGTGACAACCGCATTCCTCAACGGCATTCTTGAAGAAAAGATTTCCTTAGCGCAGTTAGAGGGGTTTGATGATGGCAGAGATTAAAAGCTGAAGAAGGCCCTCTATGGGCTGAATCAGGCCCCTTGGCAGTCGTACTTGAATCTGCGAGAAGTTTTGGAGGAAATTGGCTTCACTCCCTCAACGGCTGATCACTCCTTGTTCATCCTTGGCGAGGGGGAGCAGAGGAGCTTCATGGTGGTCTATGGGGACGGCATTCTCATCTTCTCACCCTCCTCTGACCTCCTAAATTCAATTGTAAGGCCCTTGGTGATGTGAACATCTGCCTTGGGCTTCACATCGAGCGCGACGTGGAGAAGTGGTGCATGCGGGTGCATCAACGCAAGTACCTAGAGGCGTTGGCTGCCAAATTTGAGCATATTGAAGATCATGTGGCTATTCCATTCCCTTCTGGTTTCAAGTGTGTGAAGGGACCAGAGGAGGATAGCATTGACGAAGAAGAGAGGCGCCGTTTTCTCTCGTTGGTTGGCAGCCTCATGTATGCAGCGGTAAACACCCAACCGAATGTCGCATTTACTACAAGGCAGCTGGCTAGGGTTGTGCAATGCCCTAATGAGGAGCAGGTAGCAGCTGGAATGAGGGTGGCCAAGAATGTTGGCCAAAACACTGACCGCTGGGCTGCAATACTCGGCGGCGGTGCAAAGGCGCCAAAAGGGAGCGGATTGTGTTGAACCCGGGTGTTTGTTCGTCACCGCATTCTCGGATGCTTCTTATGCATCAGAACCAGAGGACATGACAAGTGTGAGAGGCTTCATCTGCTGTTTTTGTGGAGGCCCGACTACTTGGGAGAGCAAGAAGCAGGTGCACCAAGCATTGAGCTCGGTAGAGCCCGAGGACATGGCTCTCTTCCGTGCGGTACGGGAGATTGTGTGGCAGAGGCGTTTGTTGGCTGAATTGGGGGAGGAGCAGCAAGGACCTACCCCACTCTACTGTGACAGCTAGGGTGCCATTGCACTAGCTAAGAACCCCGTGTTGCATGGCCTCACCAAGCACATGAGGGTGAAGTGGCACTGGACGAGGAGCATGGTGGCCGAGGGTGAAGTTGAGTTGTGCTTCGTGAAGATGACGGGGCAACCAGCTGACATGATGACCAAGAGGCTGGTGGAGCAGCGGCATTGGAAGTGTTGCAAGATGGCTGGGATGGCTCTGAACTAAGAGAACAAGTTCCTAAGGCCAAAAATCCGAGGGGGAGTTTGTTGGTGCAATCCTATGGTTTGCACTCGGCTTGTTATCTATGTGCGAACATGCGTGTATGCATGGAATGGTATGAGGGCATTATATAACATATATTTCATGCTTATATTACTGTGTGAATAATGAGGCATGATGTTGAATGTGTGTGTGTCGAGTCAATAGCGAGTTATCGCTAGTCGCCCGTCACGCGGTCGTTTGTGTCCCGTGCGCGGTTTCTATTTTGTCGTCTGTCTCGTGCGCGGTTTCTATTTTATCGTGTGTGGAACGTTCGGTGTGTCGCAAGTGTGTGCAACAGACCCATCAAAAACTTAATGATGAGTTTATGGTGAAGAACCAGAGCTGTGGTTTCAAGATTCAAGTTATCGCGAAGCCTGCGAAAAGGGTTGCACCTCAAGATAAAGAGAATAGTTACATTACTTTGTGTAATGTAACTTTTCACTTGGTGTAGGCCCTTGTGAAGGGTAGTTTCGAGATCCTTCGTAATTGGGGACAGTGTGGCACTGTTCCACATCACTGCACCTTGGCTCTTGGGATTTGTAGGAGCTGGAGTCATCCCCAACTCGTAACTCTTCCTAAATTGTGTTCTAAGACTATTGTGGCTGCCATAGTGCCGATCGTTCAAACCGACGCTGTGTCATCAATTCTTAATCAAATCGTGTGCTCTAAATTGTATATTGTAGGAAACTTTAAGAAGCTCGAGATCCAAGTTGAATCAGGTCATTTAAAGCCGTGACCAAAACGCTATGAGTGTTTATAGCCGCTGTGCAGAAATCCGATTGTGCACTCTGTTGGTGCAACCCTACGGTTTGCACTCGGCTTGTTGTCCGTGTGCGTGCATGAGTGTGTGCATGGAATGGTATGAGGGTATGGGATAATATATATTATATGCTAATAATGGTGTGTGAATGTTGAGTCATAATGTCGAGTGTGTGTGTCGAGTCAATAGCGAGTTATCGCTAGTCGCCTGTCACGCGGTCGTTTGTGTCCCGTGCGCGGTTTCTATTTTGTCGTGTGTATTGTGCACGGTTTCTATTTTGTCGTGTGTGTGGAACGTTCGGCACCATGTCCTGTAGCCACATGTGGCGACGGTCCACATGCTTCATGCGCCCTTGTAGTGACTGTCCACGGCTGAGCTGCACCGCTGACATGTTGTCGACGTACAAGGTAGTGGGGACACTCTTCTTGAGCAGTTGAAACTCCCACAGCAGGATTCTTAGCTTGCGCCCCACCTTTCCCACTTCCACCGCAGCCACAAGCTTGCTCTTGGTGGAGGAGAGTTTGGTCGTACCCTGCAGCTTCTTGGCCTGCCATGAAACGGCAGCTCCGCCAAGCTTGAAGAGGTAGCCTCCCGTGGACGACCGGTTCTCCTTGTCGCCTGCATCATCCGCATCCGCATACCCTACGAGGGTCAAACTCTCTGGTCCTCCCTTGAACAGCAGCCCCTTGTCCGGTGAGGCAGCCCAGTAGGAGTTTGTGTGGAAGAGCTCATGCCAATGCGCATCGGTCCTGAGGTGTGCACCTGCTGCAAGGCGACTGCATGCAAAAGAGAGGTCAAGACGGGATGAGATGGCTGTAAACTGCACCATGCCGAGAATTGACAAGTACTCGCTCATGGTACGGTTGGCAAACTGCCCGGCATCCTGCTTGGCAAAGCTGGCAGAGGAGAGAGGAGTGATCGGCTGCTTCTTTGGTGGCGCCCCCTTGAAGAACCGCTGCTGCACCTTTGCCACGTACGCATTCTGGTGAAGGAGGAGTGTTTTGTTGGGGTGGTCGCGCACAATCTGCAGACCAAGATAGCCTTCCGTGGATGACATGTATTCCACCACGAGGAGACCTTTGTCCACCACCATGCCTTCAGGTCCGGTCAAGGTTACTCCGAGGTTGACGATGATGCTCCTCAATCCCCCTTCCTCCTCATCAGCCTCATCCAAGTACTCCACATCATAGTAGATGTCTGTGCCATAAGCACCTCCTGCAAGGAATGCAATGCCGTACATGTTGTTGCCATCAACCGCATCCGAGGCCGTCATGGTGGATGCGGGAAGCCAAACAGGTGGCATGCCCTTGTTGGACCTGCTAGAATGACATGGGTGTGGGGGAGTGGGCTGGAGGGGCGGAACCGTGGGTATGGGGTCCTTCCCATGAGTTGCCGCTGATTTCAGGTCCGTTGCCTCTCCTTCCTTATCTTCATCAGCTGCACAACTTTCATCCGCAGAGGGACCAACCTCTGGTCCCACAGGTGCCAAGTCAGCAGCTAAGGATGGACAGAGAGCTGGCGGAGCCATGGTTGCGTTGCTGCCCGCAGGGTCAACCGGACGATCAAACGGTTGTTCGCCCCCTTGCACGGACGGCACTGGGATTATGATGACGGTACGTGACGGCGGTTGATTCTGCCCAAGGCCATGGACCATCCCAAGAACCTCCCCCTCTCGCTCGTCAGGCAGCGGAAGCGTTTGATGAGTGAGTTTGGCTTCTTGGGAGGAGGCGCTCGACGTGTCCTCCCCTCCTTTCTCTAGGTCCATGCCTAGCATGCCACTGTTTGTGGCTGTCCACTGCACCGCACCAGCATGGTCATTCTCAAGGTGAGTGTGCCGCAGGTTGAGCATCGCCTCGGTCCCCACCGCATATGTTGTGAGGCTGGCTGCTTCGTCATTCTCTTACGACGCGCTTTACACCACCTCAGCAAATGCCTTAGGCATTCCGTTGCATGCCACCTCAGCCGCCGTGTCATTGCATGCCGCTGTAGCTGCCGTGCCATTGCTTGCCGCTGCAGCCGCCGTGCCGTTGCATGCTGCTGCAGCCCCTGTGCTGTAGCTCGCCGCTCCACCCGCCATATTGGTGCATGCCGCTGCAGCCGCCGTGCCATTGCATGCCGCTGCAGCCGCTGCACCGTTCCTTGCTGGCCCTGGTTTAAGGTCAAGGCAGTGAAGGCGATGGCGGTATCGTGCCGTTGCAGCCACTTGACCTCCTGATGCGATGATGCAAGTGACACCTTCCTCGGTTTGCAGCTTTGCTCCCTTGTCCAAGAGCTGCCCAGGGGAGACCAAGTTAGCCTTCATTCGTGGCACAAAGAGGACATCATGTAGGGTCACACGCAAGCCGTTAGTGCCCTCCAGCAAAACCTCACCAACACCGGCAACTTCCTGCATAGAACCATCAAACCCTTTGACTGATTTCGTTGCGGATGGGTCACGGATCACCGTGAACCACTCCTTGCGGCCGGTCATGTGTTGGGAGCATCCTGAGTCAAGGAACTTTGCAGCCGAACACGCAACGGTGAGCGCCACGCCCTTCCCGTCTCCTTCAGCTACGTTCGCGGCTGCCGCGGGCGTTGTATCTTTCTTCTTGTTGGGGCACTTGGCAGCCATGTGCCCCTCCTCATTGCAGTTGTAGCAGCGCCCCTTGAAGGGGGCTCGCTTCTTCTCCCGCTTTCCATCCTTCTTCTTGTCCGTCTGCTCCCTTCCCCCTTTGCCTTCCTTCCCGTTGACCCCCGTTGTAGCCACGATGGTGTTGACAGCGCCCAAGAAAGCAGATGCATCGCTGGTGATCTGCTTGTAACTCTCTTCGATGGAGAGAGTCTGCTCCTCCATCAACACCTCGCTACACACGGGTTCCACCGTCATGTCAGGGCTGGAAATTTTGAGCTTGCGGCGAAGAAATCCGTACTCCGGTGGTTGGCCCTTCAGCACGTGGGCGGCAAACGTGGCCATGTGGACCTCCTGTCCAATGGTCAGCAGCTCCGCTCGGATGGTGCGGGCCCTATTGCACTAGGACTCCGCCGTCTCATCATCTCCCTTCCTGAGTTAGGCTAACTGGGTCTGAAGTAGGGAAGCGTGGAGGGCATCACGAACTTGATAAGTAGACAAGATATATGCCCATGCTAGCCGCCCGGCTTTCTCTTGCTGAGAGAAACCAGAGATGGACATTCGGATGGGTGGAGGAACACATCGGTTCAGCACCATGAATGCAAGCATTTGGCCCTTTGCGTACTCCGTTCGTTGCAAGGGGTTGTTTGGGGCCGGGCTTGGTGCTGTCCCGTTGCAAAACTGCCACAAATCAGCACACTCGAGCTGAGGTCGGATGGCGCTGACCCACGCGGTAAAGTCGTGCCTTCTCTTCAGCAGCGGCGTCACGGAGATGTGTTCAACTCCAAACTTGAATTGACCGTAGCTCGTCCCGATCAATCCCGCGTCAATGGTCGGTGCAAGAGCTCCTCCAACAACGCCCACAGCACTTGGAGGCTCCTGCACAGCTCCTCCTTCACCGGTTCCTCCTTGCTGGCCGCTTGCAGGTGCTTACTCCGCCGCGCGCTCTCGAACCATGCGTAGTAGACGACCGTCCACAATGAGGTCGACTTCCTCATCACGCAAGTTAGGGTGGTGCTCACGAACGGACGCCTCCAACTCCTGACGAGCATTCAGGCCCTCGGTGCTCGTTAACCACTCCATCCGTGGTCAAAACGAGCGTCGGCCACACCAACGTGGGAACGAAGTGATGGGAGGACGGAATCAAGCCGCTAGTTGGATCGACGCAGATAACGCAGCCCTGATACCATGTAGAATTCCAGTACTATAGCAGCTTGATAGAGCCCAGAAGCACGATTCCAACACACCGAAGATTGCAGGAAACGGTCCACTATAGCCAGAGATACACACAAACATAGCAGTGGTAACGACTTGGTTGATTTCTGGTTTGTGCTCTCTAGTTTTATACTAGGACGCAATACAAAATAGAAGCACACAAGAAAGTGTCGACCCGGGTCGCACGTTGAATTTTGTCGCCGCGAAATTCAAAGCCTTGAATTTCGCCGAGCGAATTTCATTGACTGGAATTCCATAGACGAGAATTTCCGCGACAAGAATTCCGTCGACCACCGACTGTAACTCCCGTGCGAATTCCGTTGACTTCGATACTTCGCTGCCGAGTTTCAAACCGAACGCGACCCGAGATCGACTTTGCCGAACTGTCCCCAATATGTACCCAAACTGTCCCCAATCGGTCTTGACAAGACACTTTCGGGACACTTGAATCGAAAGGTCTCCACTTCGAAACCCGTGTGCACCATAACCAGCGCCTTAGCAGATCCTGTCCTGAATCTGTCCTGAAACACTTTCAGGACAGATTTGAAGGTCACGAGTTCGAATCCCAGCGCAGATATTTTGTTGCTCATGGCAGCATTTCCATCTAACAGTGTCGCAGGTGTGTGCAGCAGACCCATCAAGAACTCAAGGATGAGTTTGTGGTGAAGAACCAGAGCCTTGGTGTCAAGATTCAAGTGATCGTGAAGCCCACGAAAAAATGGTACACCTCAAGGTATTGAAGATAGTTACATTACTTTGTGTAGTGTAACATTTCACTTGGTGTAGGCCCTAGTGAATGGTATTTTCGAGACCCTTCGTGGTTGGTGACAGTGTGGCACTGTTCCACATCATTGTACCTCGGCTCTTGAGGTTTGTAGGAGCTGGGAGTCATTCCCAACTCGTAACTCTTCCTATCTTGTGTTCCAAGACTATAGTGGTTGCAAATAGTGCCGCTCGTTCAAACCAACGCTGTGTTGTCAATACTTGATGAAATCGTGCGATCTAAATTGCATAATGTAAGCGACAGTAAGACGCTTAAGATCCAAGTTGAATCAGGTCATTTGAAGCTGTGACCAGAACGCTATGATCGTTTGAAGCCGCTGTGCAGAAATCCGACTGTGCACTCTATCATTCGTTTTAGGCACATTGAAGCCTATTGTGTGCATAACAAGTGGTTTCAGAGCCCCTTGAGCAGCTACGACAATGGCTGGACCTGAAGAAAGGGGTGACAAAGTTGCTGGAGGCAGTGGAGGATCCCAAGCACAAGGTCAACCCTGTGATTCAGCCATGGCGCCCGTGCAACCAAGTGTTGGCCCATCTAGGGATGAGGCTAGAGTGCTTGGCCTTGACAAGTTCAACGATGACAACTTTGCTGAATGGTCCTTCAGAATGGAGAATGTGTTTGATCACTATGATCTGCTGGAGGTGATGGAAGGAACAGAGAAGCGTCCCGAGAACGACCCGGAGAGGAGCTCGTGGGTGCGGAAGAGCGCACAAGGCTATCTCCTACTAGGGCAAGCGTTGGGGAGTAGCCAAATCCGTCACATCAAGTCATTCCAGTGTGAACCAGAGAAGGGACCAAAGGCATGGGCTGCTCTCAAGGGTGTACACGCTTTTGCAACAGCGGCGGTAGATGTGGTGTTGGAACGGCAAATTTGTCATTGAAGAGGATGAAGCGGTTTAAAGTAGCGGTATATATTTGGGAGGGGAAAGGCCAAAAGTTGATAAAAAGGTACATGGTGGTAACCATATTACAGGATCTCTCGACTTCTAACACAGTGACTAGTTCAAACCCAACCCCTCTCACATGACTCACTCGTCAAAAGTTTATACCTAACCAAAAGTATACTGAAGGACGTGCCTCCTCTCCACTGTCCCCACTCCCAAAGCGTGCATAGTCATCACTAAAAAATGTAACTTCCAAAAGCACTGCAAGCCATTGCAATTGTAGTGCTTCTCACGCTTAGGTCATACGCCGACAGAGCCATTGTTTATTTTCTAAAACCTAATACGCGGAGCATTTCGCATCAAAAGTGAGAATGCATCCATGGCGGCGCCTTAGCCATTCTCTTTTCTGCGGCCCGATTCCCCTTTCGTGTCGTCTGGTGACCCTTCCTACCGCATGAAACAACGCGAGCGCCTGCTCTTATACACGAGATAGCCCCTGGGCGAAAGCGAGGCGTCTCTGGCACGCTGTGCTGACGCGTGCGCTATGCAGATGTAGTGTCGCTTTGCTGCGGGCGTTTTGCTGGCGTGCGCTGATCTGCTGAGGGCGCAATGCTGACGCGCGCTGTGCTGGCTCGCGCGGAATGCAGGCACGCGTGCGATGCTTAAGGGGAAAGCGCGATAGTTGCTGCACAAGCTGCAGCTTCTGCGTGCTTTTGCTGGTCGTTTCAGAGGCGAGGCTTGAAATGCGGCTCCCTAATTATTCACCCGCGTCTTCGTGCGTGGTTGCGCTGCTGGCTTTGCACCTTCCAGCGCGCGCCTTGGCTATTTCTACCTGGTCTTTTAGGTTTTAGTCGCCTATTCTTCGTAGTGCGTGAGGGTGGCAGATGAGGTGGGTGACGGGAGCATTGAACCATTTTGTGACTCACAACCAACCCAACCCTGGTTCCCCCACAACAGAAGTGCCCTAGGTCTTCGCCAAAAACTATCACCCCCCTCATTTTTTTTCGTTGAGGCAAAATCGTGTTGCACACTGTACAGAAGCAGCAGTACTGTCAAATGTATATCGCTGCTTTAAGAAGGGGTGCAGAAATTCTTCGACTTGTTGACGCGACTTGAAGGAGCAGATTTGAACTACAGTAAGCTCCAGAAGAAGACCAACTTGCTGGCCCTACTCCCGGAATCGTGGTCCTCGCTCATCATCAACTTGAACCGTGATCTGCCCCGTCTCTGGCTTGAAGACGTGAAGCGCGCGATCCTTCAAGAGGACTTCCGCCGCCGTGAGTTGGCGAGTGCGGATGGCGCTGTGGCAGCGAGCGTCGGCCGTGGATATGGCCGTGGAAGAGGCAGAGGAAGAGGGGGAGGAATGTTTGGTGGCAGAAACTTCAGCGGAGGCCACAGAAGTGGCGGTTACGCCAGTGACAACAAGAGCTACGGAAGCGGTCGTGGCCGATTTGACGGCGAGTGTCATTATTGCCACAAGAGCGGACATATGTGGCGCGATTGCTACAAACTCCCAGCTGGATGGACCCTTGCTCAAGGCCAGGAGGGTAGAGGAGCAGGAGGAGGGAGAGGAAGAGGCCGTGGAGGCCGTGGCGGTCGCGGAGGTGGTGCTGCAAACATGAAGAGTGGAGATAACGACGAGGACTCGAGCGGAGATCGGTACCCGGGTCAATTCTACTTTGTGTCAACGCAAGCACCGGCTGCACCAGAAAAGGATGAAGACTTTGAAGATTCTGCAGCTGTGGGAAAGGTCACCCTACACCCCCTAGACTATTGGGTGATCGATAGCGGCGCTACCTATACCATGACACCTCGCGCGGACTTGCTCACCGAACTTGAACCGTCACCAGTGAAGCATGTCACATCGGCTTTGGGGCAGCGAGCAGAGGTGAAAGGCATGGGCAAGGCCATGTTCAAGGGTGCTGATGGGAAGATGATGGGCCTCAAGAACATGCTTTGGGTGCAAAGCCTTGCTGCGAACCTGATTTCCGTGCGGCGGTTGGCAAAGGCCAGCATGGACACGAACTCAAAGGGAGCCAAGACTTACACCGCGAGGCTTGGTGAGCGGATTCTATGGGACCTTCACGAGGATAGGGATGTCTACAACGAGATGTGGCAGATCCCTGTGGTCCCCATGCCTAGGGAGAGGCAAGTGGCAGCAAGCGTCAGCACCAAGGGTGAAGCGGTTGGTAGTGTTGATGGCGCGAACGGTCGCGCTAAGGAGAACGAGTCCAAGAAGAGCAATCTTGGAGGGACCAGCAAGCTCGGTGACCATAACAAGTGTGGTGCAGCAGCACAAGGTGAGGAGAACCCCGAGGCAGCAGCGGAGGAGGAATACGGAGAGAGCATGTGGGGCGCTATTGTGAGCGCGGCATTCTCCAATCCGACTTCGGCTACGGGAGAGTGTGATTGGCTTACCTTGCATCGGCGAATGGGGCATGTGGCCCTGCCTATCTTGCAGC